TGATTTCCCTCGATTTAGAGTGAACCAACTAAATAAACGTAACTCGTAAAGACAAAAGAAACGGTGACTTATCGTGTTTCTGTCAATCGACGTGTAATTTTGATCGAAAGGAAGTACGATCGAAAAGAAACGATGATACTTTCCATTAACGTGGAGATATTCCACGAAGAGAGGAGATATTACACGGTGGCCGAACCGAAACACTCGATGAATCTTCATTAACCTCATTAGTGACACTTGCTTCTAATTAAAGGTGGAATCGAGCAGCCAAAGGTCCAGTCAGTAATTGGTCTGTTTCGCGGTGAAAGTGTGTGCACGTCGGATGGTATCGATTGCCAGGAAACTGTGGACGAGCGTGACGAGTACACGTTGACAGAGCCGACGGAGGATTCGCCGACGAAAACCTTCAACGAGTACGAGAAAGGTAATAAAAAAACCGATCGAGCCTCGAAACATCGAGCATTTACATATAATATAAAGGGTTCGATCACGTGACAAGGGTCTAAGAGGTTTTCCAACGAGACGTCATTAATAAAGATGGTGTGTGTATAAACGACGAAGGAGCCGCGATATATAATAATGAAGGAGTCGTAAATATATTCGACGCTGGAAATATCAAGGGATGGAGTATTAGGAGTGAAGCAGTTACATTTCTCGTTATGGATCGTGAAACCCAGCGCTATCAGTCGTGATTTCACTGCCACTAAATATGCAGCTTTATCGTGGGTTATAAACGTCACGTAGAATTCACGATTCATCTGTCATCCGACAGTTATATACTCGGAAACCACTTGAGTAAGTTGGAAATTATCGAGATTTCTCGCGGTGTATGTACAGTACGTTCCGTTTGCTCTCGAAACTAAATCAAATTAAAATAATCCATTTCTTCCATAGAGAGATCGTCGATCGAAATTACTCCGATAATAGGATAGAATTAATAACGGAATAAGAACTTTGTGCTTTCGGAAACGTTGTAACATAATGCAATTGTACAGTAGTGACCGCACTTTTTGGACTCGTCGGAAACGTTCCTACTCTTTCTTTCGATGTCGCCGCTGTAATTGTAACTGGCCGAAACGTCGAACGCTTCGACGACTAACAATTTGCAAGAAACCTGCAGGCAAAACCCTGAGGATAGTTTCGCTGTTGCAGAGAGCAAGAAGGGGCCCGCCAGACGAGTATCCATGATGGAACTCTGCTCGATGGAGAAGTCGCAGTCGGAGAAATGCGGCACGGAGGACGGCTCGCACTCGTTGCCAGAGTGTTGGAACCCCCAACGACTGCGGATGAGCTCGTTCCCCTACTCGGCCCAGGTTCCAAGCCTCTCTACCGCCCTCATCACCTCCTCCTCCGAGGATTCGGAGGAGATCGACGAAGAGGAAGAGAAAGCTTGACCTTTGGGGATCGTCGAGGAGCAAACGCCATCGTACGCGGTCGACGAACGCCGTCTTCGTCGGCCGTGGCGGCGGCCACCTCGACGTTCCTTATTCTCGTCTCTCCTACGACGACCGAGCGCTCCAGTCTGAGCACAAGGGACGTGTCTCTGATACGTTCGATATACTATCCTCGAGAGGCAGACACGAGCAACTTTTCCACCGAAAATGAGGACAGGAAGATGAGGAGTTTTCGTACCACCCCCTTGGACGATCGCCGACCCTCGCGCTCCCTTCGACGATGGACACCAAAAGAACCTCTCGCAGTGGGAGAGGGTTGTGGAGGGAGGGGAGGGGGCGAAGAGCTGCTTTCAAAGCTCTCGTTCTCTTTCACAGGACCACGATGGACCAGGACGGAAAGTATCCCTCGTTTTTTCACTACCGATACTTTCATTTCGCAGCATGCAGCAACGAGTGCTTCGCCGTGCAGTTCACGTCGTACAGGGTGTCTTAAAAATTTTGAAATAGAATTTGCAGCAACAAGAAGTTAGAAAGTAACCTTCGTCGATTGTTCGTTACAAATTTAACAATTGCTTTTTTTTCCTCTCTCTCTCTTTTTCTTTTTTACATTTTAAGAAGAAGATTTGGGATTGTCGAGCTTGAGGATTTGGCATTCTTTCCGATAATTTTTTGGACAAATGCTCGCGTGTTCTACGTTTTGATCCTGCGCGTGTTGCACGAGTCGGTGGTGAAAGTATGAAATGAATTTTTGGGACATCGTGTACGCCGTGTTTTACTTAGAGTTAGAGTTCCTCGATCTCAGAGGAGACAAACGTGTAATTCGGGTTCGACCGAAAGAATCGTTGACGCGAATTGAAATAGAACACAATTGTACGTGTAGCAGTTTATGTGATGATCTTCGACGTGACGATGTTGCCATTTTTCCAACGAGAAATGATCCAATTGAGGTTGCGTTACTCTTTTTGATACTCGGTGATCGTGTGAATCCTTTTTGAATATTCGACCATGAGAGTGATGCAAATGAAAGAAAGAGTGAGAGAGAGAGAGAGAGA